ACCTCCTAATACCTGGAGAAAAAAGACTCTAGTTTCTCATCTCTGTGCCCTGTCCCCAGCACAGTGCCTGGTCCAGCTGCTGAAGCTGAGCTCTTTGCCCACATCCCTGGTTTTGATAGTTCCAGCTGATATGCAGAAAGTTGAGAAAAAAGACTCTAGTTTCTCATCTCTGTGCCCTGTCCCCAGCACAGTGCCTGGTCCAGCTACTGAAGCTGAGCTCTTTGCCCACATCCCTGGTTTTGATAGTTCCAGCTGATATGCAGAAAGTGGCAGAACAGGACGGGGTTGCTTCTTTGATTCAGTGGGAAAGGAAAGGAGACATGGCTAAGAAAAAAATCTGCTAACAGCCTGGCAGTGCTCGGTTCTGCAGGAAGAGGAGCAACAGTGGCATCTTCAGGGCAGTCGATGAACTTGGCCGGGAAACAGAGGAGGCAGGGAAAGCTCTGATTTCAGAACACACTCCGCAGTGGAGACAGTCAGCTGGTGACCTTGCCTTTCTCCACCTGAAAGTACAGGTATTGTGCACAAGTGCAAGCCACCTTATATAAAGCCCCAGGCCCCCACGTTCCAGCTGATCATTGACATTTCTCCCCATGCTGGTAGAAAGGTTTCAGCCAAACTCTCATGGAATTGGAAACTTAGAAGAGTGTGTGTCTGGTAATGTCTCTAAGCAAGCAATGGAAACTGATATTAATTTTCAAAGAAACAAAATTATCAATAAGACATTAGGCAGCTCATAAAACCTCTGGGAAAGCTGGGGTACCAGGCTCAGGGGACAGGCAGGAATGAAAGGAAGCTAACCATTCAGAACCCAAAGGATGCCGCAGGGTGATTCTAGTGAGGACATCATGTGGTCGCCCACAGTCTCCACCAGCACTACCTCCAACACTGGCAGCTGAGAGTTGCAGCTGGACTCACTGCTCCTGCTGCCCCTGAAGAGTGGAGGATGCAGGTGATACCTGTGCCTTCACCAAAATGAAACCTCCACTGTCCCTGCTTCTTGACATCACTAGCGGTCCATTCAGAGTCCCAGGTGGTTGTGAATGATTGGCCAGTCCCAGGCCACAGCTTGCATTATAAGGGGTTTCAGGAAAAAGATCTTGCCAGACAGAGATGAATTCCCCAAACATAGAAAAGGCACTCTGCAGATGCTGGGCAGCAGAATACTGTTAAATAGAAATTACTGAAGGCCATTGTTTTGGACTAAATTCCTGCACTAAGCCCCAACAGACCAGACTAAAAATTAAAATGGAGTCACTCCTGCTTAAATTCCATGTCTCTTGGGTCATGGTCTGACCTTTCCTCCACAGGTATGATAATGAAGTTCTCTCTGCTTTAATCCTTACAGAAAAAAGACCCAATGTTAATTTATCAGTTATTTTCCTATTGTTCTGTGTCCCTGTTCCCACTTAAAAGTAACTTTGAAATGACCAATCTGCTTTTTTGTTCTTTGTTTCTGCTTTCTTTATAGCCTTTTCTGTCTTTTATATATATATAGTCTATTTTATATATATATATATATGGTTTTTGGGTTTTGGTTTTTGTTTTTGTTTTTTGCAGCTGGTCTGCTTTTCTATCTATAAAGCCTTTGTTATTTGTAATAAACTTTGGAGCATTTCTCTGACTCTGTTGGATGGTGTGTCCCCAGCCAATCTTCACATTTGTCCCCCAATAAACTTTACAAAATTATTTCTGCCTGGACAACCTTAATTTCAGTCAACAATACCAATAATTGTCACCTGCAGACGGGGATGGCAGAGAGGCAAATTGCAGACCCGCCACCAGGGGGTGTTCTGAGTTTGTGGGAAATTATGGGAAAAAGTAGAAAAGGGCACAAGCCAGGAATGCAAAAATCTAGGTGCAAGTGCTGATGGGATGGCAGAGAGGCAAATTGCAGACCCGCCACCAGGGGGTGTTCTGAGTTTGTGGGAAGTTATGGGAAAAAGTAGAAAAGGGCACAAGCCAGGAATGCAAAAATCTAGGTGCAAGTGCTGATTCTGCTACTTAGCTATTGACCTGGACAGGTAAATAAGCGTCTCTGGGTTTTTTGTCATGCACAGAATAGGAACATTATTCCTGCCTACCTTGCAGGGCTGATGTGTATATCAAATTAGATTTTGTGGACAGGCTTTGGAAATTGTGTTGTTGTTACTGAGTAAATCCATTTGCCTCTCTGGGTCCCAGTTTACCCACCTGTAAAATAAGAATGATATATAAAAAAAAAGTATTCCCTACATTTTAGGGCTATTGCAAGGTAAACTAGAATATTATAAATTAATGGCTTATTTACAGATTGAAATTTTTGATGCCTGGGATTTGCCTCAAAATCATGGAGGTGGTGAATGGGAAAGGAAATGTATAAGAAATGACTATGGAGAAGACTGAGCATGAATTACGTTAAATAAAAATTAAAGGAAACCATTGTTTTGGACTAAGTTCCTGCACTAGGTCCCAAGACCAGACTAAAAGTTAAAATGCAGTCACCTCTGCTAAATTCCGTCCCTTAAGCTTTGGTCTCACATTCCAAGAAGTCAGGAGAAAGATAACAGCCAATTTCCCCAGACAGGCCAGTTTAAACCTTCAATGGGCATGATAATGAAGTTCCCTCTGCTTTACTCCTTACACAAAAGAGATAGCCTGAAGTAACCTGATGTTATTTTTCTATTGTTCTGTCTTCTCCATCCTACAAGCAAAGTCACTTTAAAACGACCAATCCTCTTTTTGTTCCTTGTTTCTATTTTCTTTAGCCTTCTTCTGTCTGTAAAACCAACCTCCTCTACTTGGCTCACTGGAACACTTATTCTATTTTATGGAATAACGTGTTGCCCGACTCTAGAATAGCAATAAAGCCAAATGAGATCTTCAACTACATTTGTTGTAATTTCGTTCTTTGCCAGTTAGTGTTGAAGTGGGCTGAGCTGGTGGGCCCATTACAACACCATTTTCTCTACATTACTGTGGGTATGAAACCTTTTATTTTCACCTGAAGCGTCTTGGACTTAGAAAAACAGGTCACAATTTTATTATTAGAGTCAATCAGTATCAAGAGTCCCCCTGCCCCCTTCCCCCCAGGCATTGTGTTTCCTCAGGCAACACGGTCTCCTCCTCTCTGCCCACCACCCTCCTTCCTCGGCGGACCACCGATGTGAGAACGTATAAAGTAAAACATCTTTGGTGGCCAAATGTTGGTTTGAAACAAAATGGAAAGACCCAAAGAACTAACTGCCAACAACAAAGCAGGCAAAGCAAGCGTTCACATGCCCCTTTTAAGGGCAGTCTTTGCAAAGTAAGCCTTTCTAATAGGCAAAGACGGCCTCAAGCTTCTTTCTCAACTTGCACCGGGTTTAAACCGCAGGAAATAAGCAGCAGACACGCCCCTCGGGCTGCGTCCCAAGTGCCAGCAGGTCGTGCAGGGAGGGACGCATCCGGGTTGTGCCAACACTACGACCTATGCACTGCCAGCCCTCCCGCGGGGAAAGCCTGCACTTGCGCAGGGTGGGGTTTCAGGTCACCATAAGGCTGTGTCCAGCAGACCCACAGTCGCCCTTGCGGTTTGATTCGACTGCCTCGTCTCCCTCTAAGAAAACACGGCGCAGGGCCAGCGTCGCGTGCCGCCCGCCCAACTTCTTGGCCCTGTCGCTGACGCCCGAAACAAACATGGCGCCCTGCGAGGCAGAAGCGCTTCCGCCCCCACCCAAGATGGCGGCGGGCGGGGAGGGGCTGGCGGGCGGAAGTGGCGGCGCTCGGCTGACCCGTGTGCCATGGCGGCCGCGGCCACCTCCTCCGCGCTCAAGCGCCTAGATCTGCGCGACCCCGCGGCGCTTTTCGAGACGCACGGAACGGAGGAGATCCGCGAGCTGGAGCGCCAGGTCCGGGCCGAGATCGAGCACAAGAAAGAGGAGCTGCGGCAGATGGTCGGCGAGCGGTACCGCGACCTGATCGAGGCGGCCCACACCATCGGCCAGATGCGCCGCGGCGCCCAGGGGCTGCTGGACGCCGTGAGGGCCACCGACCAGTACTGCGCCCGCCTCCGCCAGACCGGCTCGGCCTC